GGGTGGGGAAGGTTCCCGCGGGCCATGTGGGTGGCGCAGCCTTGTGTTTCTGCACAGCCTGGATTAATTGCTTTGCAGGGTGCTCTGGGAATGACATTTCTCTGTGGCCCACCAACCACTGCTCTAGAGCACTCTCTATTGCCCCCAACAATTTGGTCCTCACTTTTTACTAACCTTGGAAGGATGGAAGACTGAGTCAACCTTTAGCCTGTCAGGATAGAACTCCAGGCTGTAGGCAGAGTTAGCAGGTAATACTGCATTCTAACCACTGCACCACCAAGGCTAATGCAATGCAATGCAGTGCAGTGCAGTGCAGTGCAGTGCAGTGCAATGCAATGCAATGCAATGCAATGCAATGCAATGCAATGCAATGCAATGCAATGCAATGCAATGCCTAGCTTAATATCTTTCTCATTTCCACTGGAAAACTACATGCCTATAGAGGCCTGCCTGTCACAACCTGTTTAGGGTTTAATGCCCTCCATAATGCATCATATAATGCATTAATGTAATGCATGTGGTATCTTATGTCTAATAAGAATCTGTCAAAGAGAACAAAGGTTTCTCTTCCTTAACAAACATACTTATTACTGACTGCTCAGATCTAATCTCTAAATTTCTAGCAGACACTTTTTATTTTTTAATAAATCAGTGATACAAGTAAGAATTGAATCTACTTGATTGTAAGCAAGATTGGCAGGGATGACATACCCTCGTGTATCTTGTTCTCCTATGACTGGTGAAATAACGATGAGACTAACTTATGGGAACATTCTATGTTCTTTTATCATAAGCAGATCCAGAGTTGCTAGACTTTAGACTTTATAGGTTTCTCAGATCTTGTAACTTTGGAAGCTAATTAAAATGGTGTGATAAATCTGAATATTTTTCTGATGGCTCTTGTGAATAGGTGTTTCAGATAGCAGCTTTGGAGAACAGAAATTAAAATACATGTTTTGTTTTTGAATTTTTCATTTATACGATAATGTGTGCAATATCCCATTACCTTCCTTTAAGGAGACTGCTGTTGCCGCCGCTGCCGGTTGTAGGAGCTGGTTGGCGCCTGCATCTCAGGGGCCTGACTCCGGGGTCCCTCAGAGAGCTGGGAGGCGCAAGAACTGCACGGCCCAGATTAATTGCTTTTGGGGGGCATTTCTTCTGCGGCCCACCAAAATTTTTCCAAGGCCCACCAATTACAGCTGGATTACTATAAAATAAAGTTCTAGAAGAATTTTCAATAAAGGGACAGGGCACATTGAGATTTTCATTTTTTTAATCAAGCAGAATTCTAAATTCTGAGGGAAACTGTTCCTCATATATTTTTTTCTTCTTAGCATGTGAATAACATATATTACTAAGTAAAATTAGAGGAAAAGGTGGCACAAGTGATGTCCTGAAGATATTTTGCATTACATTTGGTATGTTGCTTAGGGCTTAAGAATTATCAAAATGGAGGGCATGTCACTTATCCATAGATGGATTGGCCATGGTCATCCAGAAGAAGTTGACTGGAATTTATATCACACATTACTTTGTGTTGATCTCTGGGTCAATCTAGGTACAGAATTTCCTACAGCAGGAAAATGGATTGAAACCAATCAGAATGTAACATATGATCCCCATGATAGCACCTTTATGGAGGCATAAAATTGGGTTTTTTTTTCTTTTTACATCCAAACTCATTTTTTTTTTCTCATCAAGAAAAAAGACTAATGTGAGTGTCTCACTCTTGTGTACTTTCTTCCATCCAGATTCCATCAAGATCCAGCCTAAAAACAGAGATCATGACTGGATTTCATTATGTAGTCTACAATTACAAAATGTTTAATCAATAACAGACTAATTGTCTTGGTATTCTTTTGTACTATGTTAGCCTGTTGGCCTGTTGGATCTTAATTTCTTTTTGCCTCTACATCCTTTCATGTCATGGAAATGAAATTTATTTTTCATGTTTCATTAGCTGTGAAATTAATTCTTGAGTTTGCTTTTGAATTAAAGGATGGGATCCAAAATTAGCCTTGCCTAGACTAATTAAACCTTGACATGAATTTAAATCCCACTGATGTTAATGGGTATGCCCATAGGACTTGAATCTCTGCAGCCAAAGATTGTTCCTGGGAGAGTTTTTATCCAGCCAGAAGGTAACCAGAACATTGGGGGCAAAGTTGGAGCTAATAAAGGGACCCCTACTCATTACCTGACTGTGTTGCCTTTGTGCCATGCTCCAGGTCATCACAGTAGCATTCTACTTCACATGAGAGTCTTAGGACAAAATTCAAAACTTGAGAAGTAGTTTATACAAACTAAATTGCCATTAAAGGCTATATGAATGTTCTTGAAAATGGGAAGGAATGTAGCGGGAAGTTTGTGTACTCAGAAAACAATTATTTATCTTATACTAACGCTAAATGCAGAGTCTCTAGTTTTTGCTGCCCATAGGTTGTGCATACTGAGAATATAATTCAGTAGCTGTTTCTTACTGACTGGCTGAGCTCAGTGCTGAATATTATGTCTGTACTGTAATTTGTAGGTGCCTCCGTCACAAATAATGAAATAATTGAATGGCCTAGTTTGGTGAAAACAACCAACGCTTGCACCTGACTATAGATTTTTCGTTTATCTCTCTTATTACACTCTTATTACAAATCGGATTTTTCATTGTTTTTAACCTGAGGAAAGTTATAAGTGATCTAGAAAGCATGAGGATCCCTGTGGCATAGTTCTTAGAGTGCAGAATTGCAAGCTACTTCTGCAGCCAGCTGCCTGCAATTTGGCAGTTTGAATCTCACCAGGCTCAAGGTTGACTCAGCCTTCCATCCTTCCGAGATGGGTAAAACGAGGATCCAAATTGTTGGGGGCAATAGGCTGACTCTGTAAACCGCTTAGAGAGGGCTGTAAAGCACTATAAAGTGATATATAAGTCTAAGTGCTATTGCTATTGTTAGCTAAGGGAAAATGGTTATTGTATCAAATATAACATGGTGTAGGTGTAATTCTGGAGTCATTTCAGGATATAAGCACTTTTTTATTAATTGGCAGGTACAACATTCTAATATTCATAAACCATAGGTCCCTTCAAAAGTTCTTTTGAGCTGCGGTAGCACAGTTAGAATACAGTACTGCAGGCTACTTCTGCTGACTGCCGGCTACCTGCAATTTGGCAGTTCGAATCTCACCAGGCTCAAGGTTGACTCAGCCTTCCATCCTTCTGAGGTCAGTAAAATGAGGATCCAGATTGTTGGGGGCAATAGGCTGACTCTATAAACCACTTAGAGAGGCTGAAAAGCACTGTAAGCAGTATATAAGTCTCAGTGCTATTGCTATTTCTATTCCTCAAGCAGCTTTTGCAGGATTAGGATCTCACAGTCACATAAATGAACCATGGTTCTTTTTCTCTGCAAGCACAAAACCATACTGGCAGCAATGCTAGCTAGCTATTCACCATCTTGGTATGCTATGGACATAACAGACAATGAGAATGATTCACTATCTATATAAATAAATCAGTATTATGCTTTATACCAAGCGCAAAAGAACAGCAATTTCTTAGTTCAAGAGACTCACTGCTTTAATGTTAAAATACAGAATGTCTTCAGACACATAATGTTCTGCTTCTGTGTTCCCATTTGATCTTTATATATAGAGTATTTGCTAAAATAATTATAATCCAGACATATGACAAAGACAATCTTTCCCTGAACGGATAATTTTAGAAAAAGAAGTAATGTAAGGGAACAGACTATCAAGCACTGATTTTTGTTGTGCTGAGACTTGGATACAAAACAGAGGTGGTATTCAGCAGGTTCTGAACAGTTCTGGACAACCAATAGCAGAAATTTTGAGTAGTTCAGAGAACCGGCAAATACCAGCTGTGACTGGAAATTTTACAGTATCCTTCCCCTGCCACACCCACCAAGCCATGTCCACAGAGTCAGTAGTAAAAAAAAAAAATCCCACCACTGATACAAACACTGTTTGCCATTGGACAAGGGCTGAAACTATATTCAATAACATCTTGAAACTACAAATTCATTATACCTCTTTTGGTACAGATTAACAAAAACTATACTTACTGGATGAGACCCTTATTAAGAAAGTAGTGCATGAAAGGAGCGTGCCCTGTCTCCTTATCACCTCCTTTTCTTCATAGGTGACACATAAAGTGATAACTATTGTCATGTTCATGTGAAAATTCTAACAAGCTCAGAATCTTAATCTATTGTATACACATACATACATACATACATATATATGTTTTCTTAAGTTTTTGCGGGTACTTACATGTATGGTATTCAGCTTTGTTCAGGTATTTTCCCACATCATTATAGTTGTGCTTTTGGTTGAGACTCTTGGTCTGTGTTTATTGGTCTTGGAGTTTGCTGTGTTCTGCTTGATTGGTGTTTCTAATATCTTCTGTCTGTTTTTTGGCTCTTAGACTCTTAAACACAGACCAAGACTCTGAGAAGCACAGAGCTGAAGACAGAAGCCTGAAGATGATGAATGAGACTTCATCGAAACGTTGCCTAGATACTTCCAATCTTACGCGGGAGAAAACCCGAATAACCAAAGATCCACATACAAATACCCGTGAGAATACCCTCAGAAAACATTATATATATATATATATATTGAAGCTGTTTTCACTGTGCCTTTTTGAAAAATAGAAAAGAGCATTATTTCAAGAGGAAAAATTATTATAAAAGTAAAATAAAATGAAAGTCCCGAAGTATTTTACAAGAAGAGTACTACACTCCTTTGTTCGCAACAGAATACCCTACAGCACCAGACTTCAGATGCTAGGCTTAGACATCCTTGAACTACGCAGGCTAATATTGGACTTAAGCATAGTACATAAAATTATATTTTACAATATCTTAACAGTTAATTAATATTTCAGCTTTAACCACAACAACACAATAGCACACAATAGATATAAACTTAATGTAAACCACTCCACACTTGATTTCAGGAATATGATTTCAGCAATAGAGTGGTCAATGTCTGGAACTCTCTACCTGACTCTGTTGTCACCTGCTCAAACCCCAACTCCTTTACCCTCAAACTAACCTTTATTGACCTTGCCCCATTCCTAAGAGGTCTGTAAGGGGCGTGCATAAGCACAATCGTGCCTACCATCCCTGTCCTATTGTCTCCAATTATTAGTACCTATTTTATGTATTTATACTTATGTTTATTCCTGTTTCTATTATATTATAAGCATTTGACAAATAAAAGAAATAAAAGAAATAAATGCCATGTAGCATAGGATCTGTTAGCTTTTCTTATCCTTGTTTTTAGAAAATTGATTCACTGACTCATCATTTCCTTGGTGCAGGAAAGCATGGAGATAGATAGATAGATAGATAGATAGATAGATAGATAGATAGATAGA